AGGAGACACGAGGTGCCTATCACCTGTAGAGCTCAAATTCCCCACTGATGGAACTCTGAAGACTAGAGGAGAACCCCTAGACCAGGGCAACTGCTTTTCTTCAACTGACCAGAGATTCTGAGGCACTGCTCAAGCCCCTGTCCCAAGTTCCTACTTGCCCTGTAGACCCCATTATGTCAGTTCTCTCAGGAGAATTTGGGAGTCCAGGGCTCGTAGGGAACTTAATTGGGTTTTTAACTGAGGAAGGTCAAACCAGATTCAGGATGTCCGGTTTCCTGGCTTTGAATAGAAGCACTTCTTACCTGGGGGGACAGGATCCTGGGTTCGGCTCTGTTTGTGCTTGTGCTTATTCTTCTTCTTGGGAGGCTGAATATGCATCAGACGACACTGCTCCGGCAACTGAAGGAACCAAAGGAAGGTCCAGGTGAGAAGAGGGAGGAAGTCCCCGGCTCCCATCATCTGTTCTGCTCAGTACGTCTGTTCTGAACAGACGTGGACAGAAAAACCACCTCCATGCCTTTCAGGCCTCCCCATTTGTCTCCTTCCTCCCAAAGAGGGGACTCACCGGACCAGTATGGAGGCGGAAGCCAGCCAGCATGGTCCCTGTGATAGGATTAAAAGAGCCACCGAGAATAGGGGGCTTCTCGATGAGGGAGCGGAGGCTGCTGTTGTCATGGGAACCAGGCAGATCAATCATCCCTGGCAGGTCAGGCAGGAAGTTACTTAGCTTCTCCTTCACTTTCTTCCCACAGAATTTATTATAGGCCTGTTCCAGGTTGTAGTGTGTGATCAGATTAGTGCTGCCTGTCAGCTCTGTGCTGCCTAGAGGATACAGGGAGAAAATAATAAAATTAGTCCCAAGAGTTGAGCATTTTTTTTAAGTCATTGACCCAGAAGGGAAAGTAAAGGACTATATTTTAACTTAAATAAGGAATCTTTCAAGTGATAAATTAAAAAAATATATTTAAAAAAATGGGAAATAGCAAAAGTAAGTAACAGAAACACTAGAAGTATAATACTGTAGAATGGTAGGTTGGAAGGAGGAGAAGGAAAAATAGGCAAAAATTCAAATAAGGCAGAGGTGGGAACTGCTCTAACCCAATGAAGGAGACACTCCCCTCCAACTAACCAGAGTAGTAACTTACACGATGCTTATACTCCATGCTAAACACTGTTCTGTGTTCCATAAATGTACTAGTGAGAAACTACACTCTTGGCCATGACATGACCAGCATAACATAACCTCACAGCTCAGCTACAACCAAGCTTAGGGCCAAATATGACCCACTGGCCTGGGTGTCTTGCTTCTCCCCACCACTTTTTTTAAACTAGCAAGAAACACTAATCACCTCTACAGAGAAAAACAAGAGATTTTTCTAGCTACTGCTGCCTAACTTTTGTTACCACCATCTTTATTCTTCCTAATAATACGAATATGATGCTTTGCCAAGAAGAGATGTTTGATTAGTTGGGCAACTAGAATTCTAACCCTACCTGTCCTCTATGCCTCAGTTTCCTCTTATCTATAGAACAGGGTAAAAGCTATCTGAAGTACACTTAATTTTTTTCAGGGTTCAAATGAAAACATATTGAAAAATATAAAGTATTATATAAATGGAAGGTATTATTAGCATAAATATTTCATGGCTGACTTTTTTCCAAAGAATACGAACTTATTAGTAATCTAACTAGGATCCAGTGGCAAGGGTAGAAATATCTAGCCTACAATTTCATGTATAGTTATGATGAACACTCTGGGTACAAATGACAAAAGTGACTTGTTTATAACCATTCACTTGAGAAAAACTCAGATTCCGAACTATGAGCCCACTGAGGGCAGAGAAAATGTCTTGCTCATTTGTGTATCACTGGTCCTCAACAGAGTACACACACTGCACACGCAACATTCAATGAACAGGTGTTTTTTTCTCCATACCTACAGACCTTACCCCTGTTCTTTCCCTTGTCTTCCAATGCCAGATGTCTCAGAAGAGAGGTCCACTTGAATGACAGGAGACCCAGTGCCACGGTACTTCTCCTCATAACATGGCACTGCCTCCTGCCATTTTGGTATCCTGATTTTTCCCCCTCTGTCAGTTCCCTTTCTAGATGATTATACTCAAGGCTCAGGTGAGAGGGCACTCTGTGCTTTTTCTAAATTCTTTAACTTAAGAGTCCATCCAACTTTCTGTATTGACCATCAGTACTATTAAGATAATTTATAAATTTCTCTCCTCAGGCCTCACTCCTCTCCTGAAAACTAATCTTCCACTGCCAGCATCCTCTTAGTTCATTCATTGCAGATTCAGTTTTTCTTTTAACTTCAAATCTTCCCCACCTCATTCATCATTCCTCTATTTTAACACGTGGCACACACATTCTCCAGATATCTTTAGAAGCAGTATTCAGTTCAGATATCTCAATGGTTTGCTATTCCCTCAGGAAAAAGCTTAAATTCCTTTGACTGGCACTTGTGGTTAAACACGTCTTACTGTAATTTACCTCAGGGGCCTAACCAAGCCCTATTCCCCTCTACAAAATTTCTGATCCATCCAAATGGGAATCCATCATCTGAAAAAAATACCCCTCACACTGTTTCCTTAAAAAAATTTCTTTTAGGAAAACTGACCTAATTATCGGAAAAGTCTTCCTAATTTTCTTCACCATGTAAGTACTGCGTGCTAACAAATTGCACTACTGGGCTCCCTAATTTTCTTCACCAATATGAATTTTGGCGCTTAAATTTTAGCTTTAAAGTTACCTACTCAGAGAGGGCTTCTCTAATCACTCTAGCTAAAGGAGTTCTGCTGCCTCAATTCTTTATCACGTTTTCTCTTTGCAGACATAACCACTCTCTGACATTATCTTGTTTGTTACTCTTTGCCTCCTCCATCAGGCATGTAAACTCCCTAAAGGCAAGGATCTTGTCAGTCTTATTCACAGTTGCATCTTCAGCATTTAGAACAGTGCTTGGTACATAGCAGGTGCTCAAAAAAAAAAAAGATTTTTGAACGAAAGAATCTGGTTCAATTCTAATCACCTCTTTAAATTGATGAGGAAATGCCGAGGCCCAGAGAAGGGAGGAAGGCAACAAGCTCCAAACCAAGAAATTTGAGGCAGATTTGGAAGTAAAATCTTAGGTCTGCAGGGATGTTGAATCAAGGCTCTCAAGTTCCATACTCAAACCCTGGATAATTTTTTGGAAGCCATAAACCAATGTCAGGGACAGGGACATGATACGGAGTGAAAGGTAGTCACGGAGATCCATTCTCTTCCCATCCCCAATCCATCTCAAGAATTTCTATCATCCCTTTGGTTGTGAATTTCAGAGCCCCTTGGACTGAGAGCTCGGAAATCCCGGCAAGCGTTGCCTGGGTTACTCCTCACCTAAGCCAGCGAGCTAAGAGCCACGCCCATCCCCTTCTCGCTATGATCTGATTGGCTGGCTTTGGCCAGGCCTCGTACTCACCTGGTAGTTCCCGCATTAGGTAGAAGGGGCCACAACCTGCCGCTGACTTGTCAGCGCCGGGAGCGGCC